AGCTAGACGACTGGGTCATCTCCAGAACTGCAGCTCTTGTTCCAACTTCCAAAAAATGTCATAAAAAGATAAAATATTCTCTTCCTCCTTTTTGCTGGGGACCCCTACAAGCCACTCAAGGACCCCTGCTGGCCGCCGGACCCCAGTTTGAGGATCACTGGCTTTAATGCACGATGCTGTTGATACACTGGTGTAGAGATTGCAGGTCAATCCCCAACCAAACCTCGGGCACCTGAAACATGAGAGTTTTACCTCGGTCAAAAAATCTATTTGCTGAACTGAACTGAAAATCCAACTTCATTCTGTTGTCATGGTTACCTGGAGTGGAGCAGAGCTCACCTCTGACCCTTCTCTGACCTGTATGAGCCTGCGATGGGTATTACATCAGTAAATTTAGTGTCAGTTATATCCCCATTGAGCCGCTCTGTGCACTTTGTCTGATCTAACAGCGGTGTTTCACCTCTAAACTCTCGGTATTATATCGGCTGCATGAGCTAGGAAACGCCCTGATGAGGTGAGGATCATGAGCCCAGTTTGCAAACCTGTGCAAACTCTGTACAAAGGTTAATTAAAATTTGGGATGCATTTTGTTTTGTTACTTCCGGTGCCTGATGGAGATTAACTTTATTTCTCCCTCCTCCACCTGTTGCTACTTTTAAAAGAGGATGAGGGGAGCCTCTCTTCCACGCTGTGCCTGGTTTGCGCCGACGCCTTTGGTCACAAAAAGTTGCAAAAAGATGCTGCTCATTCCCATTTGTGTTTGTGCATGGAGATTTTTCAGAAAAATACAGCTGATAGGCACATAACCAGTCAGAATGACAGAGAGAGTCACCAATTCACAGAGTCTGCATGACTGTGGACTGTGACAGGAAACTGCAGAAGAACACCCATGCAGACATGGAGAAAAGTCCATGCTCATACGGAATTATATTTATGGCCGCTGCTATGCCAATTTTCTTTTTCACTTTTCATGTTAAAACATGATATTTTAAAATGTTTTTTCTGATTACTAGACATCTAAAAAAAAATCTGTTTTTACAACTTCACGCTGCAAGCTGTAGCGCTCAATTCTGATTTATTGTTCAAATCTGATTTTATTTGTTTGGCTGTTCATATTGTTTCAGGCCCTGAAGTGACCCACATGATGAATGTAAGTCTATATGAAAGTGTACCGAATCAGAATGGAAAAAATCTGATTCCATGTCATTTGTGCTGTTCACACAGTCATGAAGAACATGTAGCAAAAAAAAAAAAAATCTGATTTGAGTCACTTTGGCCTGCAGTCTGAATGTGGCCTTATTGTTACATTATCACATCAATGCAATGTTTGGTTGGTATGTTGTTACAATGAGAACAAACATTCTGGTCAATGCCTAAAGAGAAGAAACCTACATTTTTCCCAGTTTTATTTGTCCTTTTTTAATTATGCAGTTTAATGATGAAGTGACACAGGTGCTTTACTAGTAGGTGGGCAGCCAGCGTGAGCTCACTCTCTGCCTTTGGTGATTTGTCTACAGTTTTCCTCAAACCCAGGCTTACGTCGGTGATGTGAGGGGCTAAAATACAATTAACATTTTCCAGGAATTCATAGATTATTTCCACAATATTTGGTTATTTCAATCAATTAATGAAAAAAATGACATTTTTAAAATTATTTTACGCAAGTTTGGTCTATGAACGTTTACAAGTATATATAAAATATATATAAAGTAATTTCCCCCTGGGATTATTAAAGTATTTCTGATTCTGATTCAGATTCTGATATAATATATAAATGCTCAGTAAAGTAAAGCAAGATTAAACTGCCATATAGTACAAAGTGAAACTGAGCAGTTGATTTACATCACAGAGCTTACATCACTGACCATGTGCAAATTGTCAGATTCTCAGTGACAGTATTGGATTTTTTTGTGTCAGTTACTAAATTTTGAAGTGATTCCAAGAATTGATCTACTTTATCAAGTGTACAGCGTTTGAAAGAGTACACTCTGAAGCTTTTTCTGTGGCATTTTCACAATGTATGCCTGTTTTCCCTGCATTGTATACTCTGCTCTATCAAACAAAGAGCAGTATTGATAGCTGTCTTGGTGTTTTCTGGGTCAGTTGTTGACTAAATAACAACAACAACAACAACAACTTATAATGCATGACTGTAACTCGCTTATTCACTGTCTTCTCTATCTATCCATCCACCTATCTGTCTAATGCTGTTTGAACAGTATTGAGAGGCAATTTTGAAACACTTCAATGTTTACTCAAACGTTTGTGTGTGGTATTACTGTTAGCATTCAAATAATAATAAGTTTTGAACACATGCTGAAAATTTTTGTTTTGTTTTATTCCAGATGATATATTATAACATATGCCTGCTGTGGTTTATAGTCCTTGACTAACATAGGCTAATACTTCTTGCACTAGCACAGTCTAAATGGTATTTTTTTTTTTAGATTATTTAGCTTATTTAGCCCAATATTTCAGCTAGCACACAAGAAGCAACATTTAGTCATTTTTGCTTTAATACTGTGTAGAAAACGTTGAACATTGTTGAATCTGTTGTTAAATCAGCATTAGATGTTTTTTGACCACATGGCGCAGTGCAACAAAGTGTAACAACAACAACACACTTCCAACAGACATAGAGCATCTATTAGGGCCCTTTCACACCTACCTCTTTTGGTCCGGACTTTGAACTGCACATTACAGGAGTGAAATCTCCCCATGGTCCGATCCAAAGTGACGAACCTGGTCTGATGGAAAAAGGTGGACTTCGAGTCCGGATCAAATTGAATCATGGTTGAGTTTTTTCTAGAGTTAAAAAAAGTTTTTGGATGGTTTGGACTTTCAGACCAATTACAGGAAGTTCTGGCAGGCTATTGTCAGAACCAGAAAAAGAAAAAACACCAAATGGGAGGAGGAGGAGACCAAATGTCAATTAAACATTTGGTCTGTCAAGTGGAAAAAACTCCCAATTGAACTGACAACATGAACATCAAATGCATGCCTGTTAACAAACCAGTCGAGGTTTGAAAGTATAGGGAGACACAGCTCACATAAGGGATGACGACAGGATGAGGGTGCATCATGTATAGTTCTTTAGTGTGCTCGCAGAATTGCAACGTGAAACCACTAAGGCATCAAATGTATATAGTGTAACAAAAACCTTAGTTTCTGCTGTGAGAAAAGCCTGTATTTTCTGGCGATTTGATAAATAGTTCAATATTATCTTTCAGAACTTTAAGCTCTGTTCTGTTTGGTTGTTTTTTTCTGGTTTGTTTCAGGATTTTGTTGGGTAATGTCTTGATGTTATAATATCTTCTCACTTAATGTGTCTACCTTTGTTCTCTGTTTCTGTGTTTATGCACTCTGCAATAAAAGCTTCATTAAAAAAAAGTTCAGTTTCACTCTCTACCAACTCTCAAGAAAAATAGCTCGGTATTTTTCAGCATGTTACTTTATTGAAAGGAAAGTGGATCGAGATAGGAAAGGATTGTATGCAGAAAAACTGGACTCGAACCCGGGCCGCAGCAGTAGGAAGTCAGCCTTGACACATGGCGAGTGCTCTACCCTGTGAGCTGCTACATGCTCCACTATGTTAGTTATTCACTAACTTTGCCTATTGCTGCTGCAAATGAGAGCTATGAGAGTGAATAAAAGTGGTTAAAACAACACTATGTAAGATTTGGCATTTGTATTTTTCTGGCGCCCCCAGTTTCAGAGTGCAATACCAGTGAGATGACAACTTTGCTGACATAGCCGAACATCAAGTGCAACACGACACAGCAAGCCAGCTATCTGTCTCGCCGTCTGTCTGCAGCCTTTTATTTCCCGACAGAATGACAGAGGAACCCTATTATAATCAAAACTATTGTGAAGTGGTTATTTTAAAGTAGAAAAGTTACATAATGTTTTAAGTTTCATGAGATGAAAGAATCTATACAGCTGTGTAGAGCTGAGGAGAACTGCAGTGGTTAATAATTCTCTGTGGATTTGTCAACCCATTTCATATTACACACATTCATTTGATCAATTGTTTATATGTAAATATAGACTGGTGCAGCTTTAGATAAAGTTTTTCCAGGAAAATAAAGTGCTAAAATATAACACTCCTCACTTCTGGGGAGGCTGCCGGCTTTCCATTGGTTATCCAGTGGGACCCTCTCACTGTTATTTGACATCAGTTTGGTAAGCAGCCTCATACATGTGTAGCTGAAATACTGAAAACCAATATAGCAAAAGCTTCACAGTCAAGTTATTTTTGTTGCTTGGAGCTATTTGTTGATACACTTAAAAGGTCCTCTCCTAATACTTCACAGAAAGAGACAGAGAGGCTGAGATAGGGAGGCCTTTATTAGCTTCTCCGCCAGGGCTTTATTGTGACATTTATCTGTCGTTCTTGCCCTTCATTACTTCAATCAGTAAAGGTCAGGCTCGTGCATGTGGGTCCAGGTGTTTGGGCCCCATACCCTGTTTAAACATCTGCTATCCATGAGCACATGGGGCTATTACTTCATTACTCATGTGTTTACCTGCTGAGAGGAATCAGATCTGACTCTCCTCATTAGGCAAAAGAGAAAAGGAGGAACGGTGAGGGATTTCATGACATTTACAGAAAGAGGCGCACATAAGTCTCTAATGGATTTTCCACACAAGACTTCTCTGTGAGGTGGGAAGGCTGCTTCTTGAATGGCAGGGTGATGGTGATGGTGGTGGAGGTGGAGGTGGGGGGGTTGATGGAGGCTGATCTTCCTCTGAGCTTCCTCTGTGTCTTGCTGCATCCCAGCGCACTGAGAAATAATTGAGCGCAGTGAAAGGCGAGCATTCATTCAAGGACCTTGACTGGCGCTGCTGAAGCCTGGAGGCTCAGTAGTGATTCAGCAGCACCGCGGAGCAGCCGACAGGATATAGAGGAGAAATAAAGAAGGAGAGAAAGAAAGGAAAGAAGAAGAGGTGGAGAAAAGCGTGAGCTGCGCGCAGGGTTGGAGCCGTTATTTGATCGCTGAACAACAAAACCATGCAAAGGAGGATTTTTCAAACCGGTGAAAACTTCTCCTCACTCACCTAAAGCCTTCAGCTCTCACTCAGAATTCACCTAAACTCCAGCAAATTCGGATTTTAACCGGATTTCGCGGATGCGTCGAGCGCACCGGACCTATCCAGGGGTGTAGCCGTGGTGCTTCTCGTGCGTCTTTACGCCGGTAGAGGCTGTGTGTGTGAGCGTGTGTGTGACAGAGCTGGTGAAGGATCAGCCGGAGTGGCCGACCAGTCAGAAGGATGCTGGAGGGCAATGCCTGCAGAAAGAGAGGATGAGATTTGTCGAAAGGCGCTGGAACTGCTCTCCGACCTGTGCTCCAAGGGAGAGGTGCAGGACGACAACTGCCTGGATTTCATTTACTACTTCAGGGACTTGGCCAGACCGCGTTACACGGACTCAGGTCAGCTTCTTTTTGAGTTTGAAGTAGACTGGAGTTTTATTATGGGGCTGATGAATCTACAGCTGCCTTAAAAAAAATTAAATGTCCGATTTTATGGTATAATTGAGAGTTGAGTTCATCGTGGGCTCCAGGGCTGATCAAAAATTAATTTCTATTTTTAGAAGAGCATTAGGGAGACTTTAATCTTTAACAGACATGTTTCCTTTCATATACAGCTTCTCTTAAACTTTTCAACATGGGATTCAAGAGAAAAAGAAATGTGGAATTTAATAGACCAAATTCAATCACTAAATGTTACTTACACTCTTTATTCTGTCTTACATGAAATCCATCCTCTTGCTTTGACACAATAATGTATACATTTAAGGGATCCTTAAATTAAGGGTGTGTGCATGTATTAAAAGATGGTTTTCTTCCTCCCTCAGTGGTCAGCCTGAGAAGGAGAAAACCCTGCAAATATTAAGTGCCATACCACACTGTGAGCCATCACTATGTTCCCAGTTCACTGAACGCGAGAAGAGTGTGATCTGTGAACTTGTTGCTTGCATCCATTAGCACCAGCAGCATCTACAAAGCATTTCCCACCTGTACAGTGTGTGTTTGTTTGCAAGTCCACCACAGCATCCATCCTCTTCGCCAACAGGCTCAACTGAGGGAGTGTTAGTTGGGTTTCTCTTTTACTCTGGCGGGCAGGAGAGAGAGAGAGAGAGAAAGCCCCACCCGATATTCCCCATAGCTCCTAGCACTTTGCAGACGTGGGTCTAGCAAAACAAAAAAGACCAGTGATCTAATCCAGTTATTTTAGACTCCCAGTCTGGAGTAGTTGGCTGGAATTTCTGCAATACTGGCATTCAAAACAATACTCTGATCAGTCTGGAGCAGTTTGCTAAAAAGGAACCAGTCTGAAAAACATTCTGGTACACTTTTTAAACTTTAAAAAGGCTCCATCCATACTATAAAAAATTACATTACAGTTTTATGCCGTATAGATATTATAGATAGAGTGTTACTGGGATAGCACCGAGGGACGGTCCCTAAATACCAGAACATTTGATTAATTTTCTTTAGGGAATATTCCACAAAACCAGTCATCTCTACTGTACTATGATGAAATGTCTAGTACAGTATGAGTGCATGTGTGGCGTGTGTGTGTGGTGAGTATGGCGTGCATATTCTGTATATCAGAGCTTGTAGGCTATTAGATTATATTTCCCATGCACATCTGCAGTATACATATGGTGCAGTAAGCATGATTGTGAATTAATTTCTCTCCTCCTTTGTGTGTATCTGTGTGTGTGTGTTTGTGTGTGTTTACATGTATGTTGGTTGTTGTTCGTGGCTGGGCCGCTGCCTTAAAACATGTTACAATCCATCATTAAACATGTATGATGAAGAGGAAGTACAAGCTACCATAGAGGTTCCCCTGAGGATCTGTGACCCACTTCCTCTTGTATTAGACTGCTCTAAATGCACATACACACACACACACACACACACACACCAGTTTGATCCACAACAAACGGACTCAAGAGGGGAGAGACCGGCGCATGGCTACTGCTCTCTGATACTCAAAGTTTTTGGAGGTGCACCGAGACACACAAACACAAGAGGAGTCAATGTTTCTACTTGCGCCATAACAGACACATAATTGGACCACACAAGACCACAATGTGTACTTTGTGATCCACTGCAAATGGACAAAATAGTTCTTGATCATTTCAGGTACACACAAGCACCAGTCCATCCTGAATTAAATGTACAGTAGCAATCTTCCCAATCTTACACTATTACCAATGAATATTTGCTGCCGTTCTTATTTTAATTATTGGATACAGAAGAAAGAGGTTTGTGGCTGTCTATCAGCTTAAAAATTTGCCTTAAAAACTTTACTTTCAAATTTTCCACTGAATGGAAAGGCAAGTTTTAACATGCTTTCAGTTTGGTGAAATTGCCACTGTCCGCAGTAGGGAAGCCAGTGAGGGATCATGTCATTATAGCTGCTCTAGGAAGTAGTTGCTAGTGGTTAGGGCGTCTGTGTGACACCTGTAAGAAACTAAAAGACACGATCATGAGCGCCACAAGGTGGTGTCTCCTCACTAATAACGTCATCATGATTCTTTAGCAAATGCACAAATAAGCAATTTTGATATTAACATTATGTAAAAATTCCGGAGAATCCAAATCCTTACATATTAACAAGCAGCACGTAGCTACGGGTTAGTACGCTTCCACAAAACTTACAGAAAGGCATAAAACATCATTTAACAAACCGTATATGAGTATATTAAAACAGATGCACACATGAATTCCCAGTCAACCTTATTGGCTGCTACAGTTGTGTGCTGTACTCTCTCTTAACTCTTAAGTGGACACATACACACACACACACACACACACACCTTACTTGACAAAACTTACTCGAATTGAATATTTGTAAATTTTCTCTGCGTGCAGCACAGAATATAAGGCAGATTACGAGATTACGTGAGAAACCATCTTGCGGCTGTTGAAGAGGCTAGCTGATTGGTTTAAGTTCAGCTGTGACAGACAGTGATGGATGCCGAGTATTTCTTGAAAGTGCCTGCCCTTTTCTAGTTTTAGTTTAGTGTATCAAACCATCCGGCGCAGTCAGATTAGCACGGAGGCGGCTGCTTTTCATTGTGCAGTCTTGTACTGTAATGACAATAAAGCTGAACCTTGAATCTAAATGCCAAACACTAACTCTATTCTATAAAACTGTTTTGTATGAAAGAAGTGAGGGAGCATAGCTGGAAAACACCCAGAGAAACACTGGGGCAAACGGGGAAGCTTTACAATACATTACAATAATTTTGCATACGACTAGCATTAACCAAGAAAGGTTTATCAGCTAGTTTTCACTGACTACTATCGACATGTGGCCCAATCTGTGTGAAAACATATTTGACAGATATGTGCATTGTGTTTGTCTCATAGGTAGATAGGTGAAGTTTGGGTGAATCATACAAATGAGGACACTGAATAGGCTTTGCGATTGCGTCACCGATCTAGCACCTACAGCTGGGTGCCATCGTGGAGGTCCACTGAGGAAAAGGCTGCACATTCAAAAATAGAGGTACAGGAGGAGTACATTTTTCACAAAGGTACCATAATAGGCACATAATGGGACCTGCATAGCATGTAGGTGATTTGATTCAAAGTTACAAAGATAGTTTAGGGTAGAAATAAAAGCTCTTCAATTTAGTTTCAGATTTCAAGAAAGTTCAGTCTGTTGCTGGTTTGAACTTGTTTTGCAATGAGTTACTGAATGATGACTGATTAAGTACACTCAGTTCAACACAAATATTTAGTGTTAAAGATTTGTTTATTCATGTACTGAATGGCTGTACCAGGTGGTGCAAAAAAAGAAAACACCACTTGGTGGTGGGAAGCTGCTAAGGGATCAGGTCCTTGTCCTTGTCATACTCTAGCAAAAGTCCACGACAGGTAAAAAATGCAATACTTAGTGTAGTCTAGTCTTTGTCATGTTACCAGTGATTAGCCAGGTGATCTTAATTGAGCCTAGCCTGAAAACGATTGCTTATTGCACCTCATTCATAATAAAGGGTCTTAGTGAAGAAGCATCCAGTCACTTTTGTGATTACACACACTCTATTACTATTAGGACCAAACACTGAAGTGCTGGCTTGACTATCTGGTCATCTCAGGGCTTCCATGCACAGTGCAGCTTCAGTTAGCGTATGTATTGTATGTATATTCATTCATTTTCCCAAAGAACACAAAGGTCAGATTTTGGCTAATTCGGATACATTTTGCCGGGGTTGGGTTGCACCGACTATCTGTAAACCCATAACTACATTTGCATGTGAAGTCCTTCTTAAGTTCTTAGTAACTACTAACTAATTGTTCACGTATCCAAGTTGCACCATTAAAACTTTGATTGCTCTAAGCAGCTGATACAGGACCCATTTTAAACATTACCATAAAGTCTTTACTAGCTAAGACATTCGCAAACACAATAAACCATGTAACCATGAAGCTAATGTAGTGTTCTGAGGTTTAACACAACTTCAAAAAATAACAATTTAGGGATCCAAGTGATGTTTATTAAACTTAACTTCTACTTTGTAAATATAGGTATGACTTTTTAAATGTATATATGCATACATGGAGAAGTAAGTGTTTCATAGTCAGTAGTATTTAGAGTGACTGGGAAATATCAGATCATGCTAAACTAACCAACGTTATCGGTTATTTACCAAAACATTTCTGGCATAACGTTTCATAGGTTGAAGTATTTTTTTGTGATGCATAATTTAAAATCTTTAGTGTTACATCACTATTAAACAAGATGTTGTGTCAAGTTAAATATGTCAACCATATATTAGTACATTACCTTTACCAGGTCATATATAAGCAGGCTGACATCAGTTTTGTTAGTTAGCTTAGTTAGCTGCACAGTTCTCATTGCTGGGTGTAAATAATTATTACCAATTAATATCTACATAAGAACTAATTTAATAATGCATAATTGTTACACAATACACAGTGACTAGGCTGAGTTTGAACTTTGTTGGTGCAACTGGATCCTGCTCACAAAGTTTTATAAAATTTCAACCTGTCTGTCTAACCCCCTCATTCTTAGACTGGTAGCTGACAGCATACAGGGACTTAATATGACAACAGAGTTTACCTCTGAATGGAACGTGATTTTCATGTTCTTGCACTCAAAAGTAGAAGAAACTGACACAAGTCAACAATGATGCGTTGGATAGTGAAATGCAGAAAACACTTTAATTTCTAGGTCTCCAATACAAGGGATTGATTAAATGTTGGGGGAAATAGGGTGGGTTTCATTACACTCTTGATTGCATTTTCGAGGTATTGTTGCCAGGCAACATAACATTGGATATTTGGTGTGGATATCTTTGAGCCTCTGGTGATATTCTTAAATGAGCTAAATAAAGTTAATGGCTCTTGTCTTCCCTTCACTTCTCTTAATTTGAAATCCACCTCTCCAC